GAGCGTTGGGCTTTGAGAATAAATAAAGTTTTGGCTTAACACATAGGTAAAATTGCCATTTTGTATGTAAAATGCAAACATTGTAATGCTATATATATATATATAATATATATATATATATATATATATATATATATATATATATATATATATATATATATGCATACTTAAAATTAATTTTATGGTATAACTCTGTATAAATATTAAAAAATAGAAGATTTTACAAAGAAATATTACTGCACAAGAAATATACACAATAAACCAATAAAAAATGGATTTTAAGTAATGAATATTTAAGTCAATGGTATAATGGAAAGTTTGTTTGCTAAGTGAGGGATTTATCCATTTAATGTGAAGCGCTTCTTTTGTTTTTTTTTTAGTTTATTTCTGGTTAAAGCATTATCCAAAATCTCAAAGAAATTACAGCTAGACAGACTTTTACAATTAGTTCTGGTTTCTTCCTCTAAATAATAAAATAACACTGGATTTTTAAGGCTTTCTAAAGACTTTTGAACATTTTACAGGAAATATTTTAGTTTTTTTCTAAAGTATGTTGTATTGTGTCTCAAATAAAATGAAATTATATAAAAGGTTAAAAAAAAAAATCATTTTATAAATAACATGTGTGCCAAATTTATATAGATTTTTTGTTGTTTTTTTATATTTTAAAATCTTAAATTACCAAATTAAAAGTTGCTCTATGAAGTGATTTCAAGATGGCTGGAAAACATTTTAACACATAAACTTGTATTACATGGTTTATGTAATATTTAATAACATAAAACACACTTAAGTACTATTTTTAATTTATGCAAAATTTCAGTCTGATTAGTTCCGACTGTTGTCAAAATTAAATAAAGTAAAGTAAACTAAACAAGTTTAAATTAAACAAGTATTTTACTTTACGCCTGATGATGGTCTGAGCTGATCAGACTGAAATATTACATGAATATATTAAAATATAATACTTAACTGTGTTTTATGTTATATATTAATTAATTACAACAAGAAATATTATTTAAGCAAATAATACATAATCAATTATTTAACAAAATTGTTTAATGCTTCCAGTGTTATTTTTATATTGGTTAAATGTATGTATACTAGTTGGGTAGTTTTAATATTTAGAAATACGGTGTTTTATTTAGTTTAACTTTTTTAGGTAGGAGATTTTAAACTTCCATTTGTGGTGTATGGTGGTCTGACATTTTTTCTTCTTGTACTTCTATTCTATATACTGCCAAATAAATATGGTTATTATTTTAAATGTTTAGTAATAATTGTTATTTGCTATATTTTGTCAAATAAATATGATTGTTATTTTATTTGTTATTTGCCATATTTAAACATTTATAAAACTAATTATCTAATTTTATAAAAGTATTAAACTAATTTCTTTTTGCAGATCATAAATGTCTTTTACACATTTACTAAATAACAAACAATTAAATTGTTTTTTATGTTCAACTTTTTTTTGTCTAGTTATAGTTTTTCTTCTAATTCTAAAATTTATAAATTTATAAAGTTATCATTTTGATGTTTTTTTCAAAAATTTAATTTTTTTATGTAATTAAAATATCACATTAACAATTTGTTCACTTTTGCAATTAGTTTTCACAGTTAATGTAAAAATGGAAAATTAACCAATGATTGAATTATTTGGTTTTCAAAAGGACAAGAATTCAAAATGGGTTTGATGTAACAATACATTTTTCTTTCATTTTTATTTATAGAGAAATTTCTCATAGAGCTTTGTTAATAAACAATAAAAATGTAATACAATAAAAACAATTAAAAAAAACAATCGAAAGTCATAATTATTGCAAATCAAAACATAAGTAAAGCTTAAACACAAATTAAGGTCCAAAAAATCAAATAAAAATTATTAGCCAAAATTTTGCAATCACCAGCCATATTTTAAATCATGAAAGAATTGTTGTTTGTTATTGAAAGTTATTTGTTCATTTGTTATTTTTAACAAATGAACAAATAACTTTCAATATTATGAAAACAAATTTAAGGTGTATTAACTGGTACATTAATATTAATTAATGCACCTTCTAATTATTTTTGTTTTGAAGATGCGTAACCATTTCTAATTATTTTATAACTTAAAAAGACAATAAAACTAATTTTGCAAACAATTAAATAGTTTAATAGATTATTAAACTCTGAATTACAGTTGAATTAAAAAACTCTAATAAAAGATTATTAAAAATTGAAATAGATAGAATCAATAAGGACTTACAACCTTAAAACCAAGTTTTTTTTTTCACACTTTTAACAAGGCTGCAAGCAGCCACTAGTAGAGTTAAAAGTTACTGTAAGAAACAAGATGACATTTATAAAACAAGATAACAATTAACAGATGACTTAACAGATTGCTAATTATATGAATCAAGAAAACCAGGGAGTGAATTCCAAAGAATTGATGTTAAATTAAAAAAACTAGACTAATAAGAATTTTTGGACCACTTAGGAACAGTCACAGTAAAGGATGAGAATTATTTGAATGTGTATTCATACCTAGTTTCCTGACAAATGGGTGAATTCTTATGAATGTAAATGTCCAGGCCAACCATGTTACTATTGGAGTCTTTACAAACTAAAGGAAGATAATCATAAGATCAACACTAAGATCGCAAGATGAGACTGAACTCAAATTAGTCTCACAAGGAGCAGGTCTGGTGAGCTTTGCAAGAGATAAGACTCAATAGATAAAAGTTACTTCAAAGACCACAAAAATTAGTGAATGATTGGTGATGATCATGGTTTTTTGTGTTATAGTTTTGATACTTTTGTCAATTATTAAATTGGTTAAAGAGCTTGTCACATAGCACAGATAGTACTCTGTACATTATCTAATAGTCTAAGCGATTGCCTTATTACTATTATTCAATTCTAAGCCATAATAAAGGACTCTAAGTGTGACCTCGACAATGCACACTAAAAGTACAAACAGAACAACATCCATGCACAATATGGCACTGTTAGTACTCTGATATTTTACGGCTGTTGATGGAATCAGCCTTACTGAAAGCTACCACAGAGTTTGGGTAACTTACTAACTGACCTCAAAACTATAAAACTGAGTTTTAGAGCTGTACCCTCATTAGGAGATAATAGAATGAGTTTTTTTTTGTTAATTCACCTCCTCAAGGCTGAGATGGCCACTACAGACGAGGGTGCTACTTATTTGTGGTTATAACCCTCTCTCAACTCTATAACTCCGAAACACGAACCTTGATGAACAAGGCCGCTGCGGAGAAACGAGTTAAGCGCAGTACTACCAGTGACGTGGTGGGTCATAAAAATATAGACACAAGCAAAAGTCATGCAATGAGTCAAGAAAATCCAGCATTCAACATCCTAAATTGGAAACTATGTATATAAATACATCTACGCTAGTCTAGTAGATGAAAAAGGGGTGTGAAGCTGGTCAACAGATAGAATCTGTTTACCACTTAAGTCTTTGCCTAGGGGGTCTCCTACAAGACAGTAGCCGGATGCAATTAATGTTTGCCCAAGATGAGTATTTTTATTCATGTATTTTATGCAATAATGAAAAGTCATGTATTCTATGCTCTAATGAAAAATGTGATAGTATTTCACACCATAACACCAAATAAACAACAATTCACTAAATAAACAGCAATATTACATCTAATTGTTGGCGTCGAAACAAATTTCAAAATACTATTCAACACTGGCTAAAATTGAATTAAACAACTACATTCATTACAGTTTAATCTATTTTTGGTGTCAAAATAATTCCATTGTTAAATTTTTTTATTTTTAAAGGGTTGTTATATTTCATGATTGAAATGTATGGTTAATGTATGTATATATATATATATATATATATATATATATATATATATATATATATATATATATATATATATATATATATATATATATATATATATATATATATATATATATATATATATATATATATATGTATATATATATATATATATATATATATATATATATATATATATATATATATATATATATATATATATATATATATATATATATATATGTATATATATATATATATATATATATATATATATATATATATATATATATATATATAAGTAATAAAATAGTTGACTAATTACAAAAAAAAAAAAAAAAAATACACCTACTTATATTTAAAAAGACCTTTTTTTAAGTGCTACTTCTTGTTTTCTTGGGTGCCCCAAAAGGCTTTTTTTTTCGAGCCTGGGGCGACACCCTACTTAGTTACTGTTGTTACTTAAATTTATATCATAATTTTATTTTCATTATTTGTGACGTTATGTTTGTGATACGTTATTAGTATTTATATAGTGGCCAAACTTATGAGATGGTATTGAAAGTTCGGTCAAAGTAGATGTTTTCATTTTAAACAAAATATTGAGTACTAGTTTTTTATTTTTCATTTTTTTATTTTTACAATATCGATTATCAATATAATTTTCTGTATGTTTCAGGAAAAAAAATTCACTCAAAAATAAATTTTTTTAAAATTTTTATGTGATAAATATATGTTCAAAGCTTAAGTGACCAAGCTTAGGTGGTTTTACGCTATAACACTTTCTTTTGCATATTTATATCATTATTTAGTTTGCAAAACACTAACCTAAATCTATACGATTTTTGTATGTTCAGAAGCGGTCAGGTTTCTCAGCTAAATGCTCAATACTATTTGTACATGTATATATTTGTATATACATGTTGACTAATAGGTCTTGCTTTTGTCAAAAGTTTTTAAAATATTTTCTTTTAAAAACTACATTCCATTTTCTTACAAAAAATATGTACCAGTCTTTCTGGTTTTTCATCTTTAAATGGAGTATTTTTACTAGTTAATGTTATAAAGGATTTCACTCTCAGTTTGATATTCTCTTTATAATATAGAAAACCCAAATCAACTAAGATTAATAATCAACTAAGTACATCAAGGCTTTTACTAACCTTTTACCTTAGTATTACTAAAAATAAGCCTAAAACCACTTTCAATTTCATTTCTGTTCCATTGGATTTTGCCATGAGTTCTTCTGTATAATGTTCCATAAGGAATTCCAAAAGAATAGATATAATACTGAATTGCCTTAACATTCATTACATTAATTTACTGTGTAAATTTAAATTTTTTCAAAAAATGATGTTTTTCTTGAAACTTGCACATTTTATTGACTATTTATTTAAAACAACTAAAGTTATTAAATTAAAAAAAAAGCAGAAGAAATTAGATTTTAAAATAAAGTAAATAACTTCTAGTTTTAAGAGCAGTTAATTGATACCATATCTGATGGAAATTAAAAAATTGGAAAAGTAATTTTATGTAACAACCATCATCAGTATGTAACAACCATCATCATTGTAAGTAACAGCCATCATCATCATTAAGTCATTTAAAAAATTTAAAACTAATTTAATGAAAAATACAATTATAATGTAAAATTAAAAAAAAGGAATTACAATATTAAAGATGTATATAAAAATTATTTAAAAACCTTTTTATAATAGGTTGTAAATATGTTATCAAAAACCAATTTATATTACAACACATTAAAAGAACACATTAAAAGAACACATTACAAGTTAAAATCTTAGAAGTACAAAATTGTTTAATTACCAAAACTATTATTTTCAAATTTTGAAGTTTTCACAATGACAATTGTTTTTTTTCTGAAATCTTTAATATTTATTACTTTATATAGGTGATAATATAATAGATATTTTAAAATATTTTGTAGTACAGATTTTATGTTTCTTAATTTTAAGCACAAAAAAGCATCACACATGATACAATAACCTCTAAAAATGTCCACTTTTACTACACTTTTTTTAGTCACTGTTTGTATTCAATGCAAATCTGTTTTTGTTTTTTACATGCAAATGGTAACTGATATTGAAACACTATTGTATGCAATAGAAATGCATTATTTTTTACAAAATTAATGCTAGTAAATATTTTAATAGTTTTAAATTATTTTTTTTTTTTTATATTTTTATGTACATGATGTTATTAAATCATTTTCATATATGCTTAAATAAAAACAAATTACACTTTTGACACTATAACAAATTTTCATCAATAGATTTTTTTTACTATTTCTGTTTATAGTGTTACAGTTACAGTCTTTACAAAAAAGCCACGTAATAAATTTAAAACCACCTCTACTATAGTAGCCCTATTGGCTTTAGCAGTTTAATTTGTCTAAAAAAAGCAAAACTCTAAATTTTACTGAAATAAGTTTCAATTGTTAGAATATTTGTTGAACAATAAAATTATTTTGAAAAACAGATTTGTTATTTAGACCACTACTAATATTAACTTTACTGCATTCATTAATTTTCTTCTAATTAATATTAAAAGGTAATTTTTATATACTAATTAATATTAAAAGATAATTTTTATATACTAATTAATATTAAAAGATAATATTTATATACTAATTAATATTTAAGGATAATTTTTATAATAATTATAATTAGTTTTTTATTATTTTGAATTTTTTAGTGAAGAAATAATAGTCTGTTAATTTTGAAATTTATTACATGTACTTTTTAGAACTGAATATTAAAACTTTTATATTAAAATCTGTGAATATTTTTAAATTATAGAGCTGTCATCATTTGAAGACTCTAGCTTTCAAACACAAATTTCAATTACAAAAACACTTTGTTTACCTGGAATATTTTTAGTCTGTAAGTAGTTCTCACATTTAGTGACTGACTAAGACGTTTATTGAGATGACTTAAACAAGATTGATTGCGATTACCTAATTTCAATTTAATGTTTGTATCATTTATAATTTTTTGTTAGTAGTATGGGCAACTATATAACTGTATAATAAATAAAATTAATTTTAATATTTTTAGGTTTAGTTATTGTGTTATGTGCAACTATGATAACATTTATTGAACCATTGTTGACTTTACAGCTTATGAAAATAACGAAAGTAAGTTTATACTAATTATATTTTTATAAACTCCTTGAAGTAGCAAGAAGCATAATCTCAACAAGTTTTAAAATAACAAAAGTTGCAGATTTTTGTGATGTTGTTATAAATTTGTATTGCTAAAATTTATAAAAATGAGCCTAGATTATATATTTTGCATATAAATTCATACATATTTTTTTTTGGTTTTATTTTTTTATATTTTATTAATATTTTAAATCTATCTATTCCATTTGAAATTTATTTCTAACAATCTCAGCTTTAACATAAAATGGATGTGCAAATAAGTCCAACTCATTCTTTTCTCTTTTAAAAACTCAGAATCTTGTGTTAAATTCATCAATTACATTTAAAATGAGATTACAATATCTTTCGATAGTGCTAATGCTTCTTTCTTATAATGTCTTTAAATGCACTTACGATTTTAAACTTAATTGTTCATTTAGAAATTTCAATTTTAAAACAAATAACGTTTGAGTTATGTCAATCAAAAATACCAAATCATTCAGCTAGTCAATATTTTTAAGCAGACTTGTGTCTTTTACTTTATTTATTCAGGTAATAATATCCAAAAATTTTTTTTAGAATTTACAGCTTGACTAAGCCACCTAACTTGACAAAAATAAACTACATTTTCAACCTCACTACCACAATCTTCAAGCAGTTGCTTTAAACTGTCTGTGATTGAGATCACTACATCTTATAAAATTAACAGTTTGAATAACAAGTTCCATCACATTCTTTATCTCAAAGGCATTTGCACATAACTGTTCCTGATTTATCATGCAGTGATACAAAAGAATATCACGACTAGGGAATTTCTTAAGTAAGGCTATAAATCCAATACTTTTTCCTGTTAACTGCTAACTTACTCCATCTGACACCAAAAAATTTTATTTCTGGCAATTCAAATGTCAGCAATGTTTTTTTTTACTTCAGAGAGAATATCTTTTCCTTTAGTTGTGCTATTCAAATGATTAACATCTAACAGTTCTTCAATTACTTTAAAGTCATTCTTTACACTTTTAATAAAAATTGTTAGTTAGGCAAAATTATTAATATTTGATTCATCCAGCGCCAGACTAAAAGGTTTCTAACAATTTTTTTAACAATTTAATTTTTCTTTCAATAATAATTCAATGTTTTTTGGAAGATCTTCAACTCTTCTAGCAGTAGTCTGGTGGGAAAGGCTAAGATCTTCAACTCTTCTAGCAGTAGTCTGGCGGGAAAGGCTAAGATCTTCAACTCTTCTAGCAGTAGTCTGGTGGGAAAGACTAAGATCTTCAACAAAAATTGTTTTTTCAAGACAAATCATGTTACAAAATAGTTTTACACAGTTTTTAGAAAAAGGTTTGCCACTCTTTGCAATACTTTCTGTGATTAAAAAACTTATTTTGGTAGCACTGTATGAACTAAATATTTTTATTACTGACTGTTACCCCAAGAACGTTTTTCTTAAGCAACTTCACCTTGTCAATACAAAATTGTTTTTTAAATTTGTCATAACTTGCAGCATGTTTTGTAACTTTTGCACGCAGCAGTTTTCACAATAAAATTATATTGCTCAAGTACAAAGTATATGGTTGTCCAAAAAGAATTGAATACACAAGTTTCGAGCAAGCTTTCAGTATTACATCTACATCTTCTTTAGCTGCAGCCATGTTTAAAAATATTAAATATGGTCACTATTTAAAATATATGTGTTTTATAGCATTTTATTATATCTAAATGGGGATTTTTAATTTGAATTAAAATGTACTGATAATGTTAGTAATGTATGCTGAAAAGTATGTATATAAAATTTTTTTTTAGTCTTTATAGAAAGTAAAAGCAGGCCACGTCTGAGGACATGGAGGGACATTTTGTGGGCTGCGGGCCTTGTGCTGGATAACCCTGATCTAGATGCAAGAGCACAATCACAATGATACCTATAAAAAAATTAAACTTGCAAACATTTTTTTTATAGAATGGGTTGTCAAGTGATAAAGTGGGTTACTTCTTTGCTATAATGCCTGGTACTTATACTTTCATGTCACCTATAATTGGTTTCCTTGCAGATAAAAGGGTAAATTTTTTTAAAATTGATTACAATGGAATGCATTATTTCATAATTTCATTATTGCATAGTAATATGATAGAGTAGGATATAACAGGATGCATTCATTTCAATTTATTTGTTTATTGTTTTATAGTTTTGTTATAACAAACAATGTCTTTTAAGAGAACTTGTTTTAAAGTTATTTATTAAATAGTTTAAATGTTTTATGGTTGTTTATTTTATTTATAGTTATAATTTTATAGATATTTATTAAATATTTATAGATATTTATTAAATATTTTATATAATGTGCGGTAGTGGTGTAGTGGTAGAGCGCTCGCTTCATAAACGAGTGGTTCCGAGTTCGATCCCCACCACGTCCCTGGTAGTACCGCGCTCAACTCGTTTCTCCGCGCAGTGGCCTTGCTCATCAAGGTTCCTGTTTCGGAGTTATAGAGTTAAGAGAGGGTTATAACCACAAATAAGTAGCCTCCTCGTCTGTAGTGGCCTTCTCGGCCTTGAGGAGGTGAATTAGAATAAAAAATATATATATTTATATTTATTAAATAGTTTTTTGTTGTTTTAGATTTTTGTTGTACTCTTTATAGCAGTACCCATATTTATAGAAAAGAGAAATAGTATTTATAGAAAAGAGAAAGAGAAGCAACACTATGGCAACTTGATAATGGTCAGAGGTTGGCTGCAAGAGCGGGTCCACCTATGTTTACAATGCGTTTTTGTACCTTGTCTAAAAAAAAAGGATATCATTGGAAGATCCGCCCTAGATATGGCAATAGTATTCCATACACAATCCAGTTAGTTTTTTTTTTTTTTAATTTCTTTGTTTCAAACAAGGCTGCAAGCAACCACTATAAGAGTTGGAAGTTACTTGAAGAGAAAAGATGAAGTTTGTAGAGCAAGATAACGGATTTGAGATTTATAAAGATAAAGAATAGAATTTGGAGTATGTCACAGATATGGCAACAGTATTCAACCCTCGGAATTAGGGTCAGCATTCAGCAATGCCGACCTAAATGCCTACCAAAAAGTATTTGAGGTTGGCAAAAAATTATTGACCTCGTTTCTATGTTTTATGGTAACCCTTTTGTGTCAAATTTTTTGCTGACCTCTAACAGTTTGAGGTCAGCAATTTATTTCAAATTTCATTTTTCTTAGTTCTGAGGGTTGAGTATTATAGTAGGGCGCTACAAATCTTTTTTTTTTTAAATAAACGTTGATGTTCGTATCTTTATTTATTGATGAACGTCCAACTGAAGAGGTAGGTCCTAGGTAGAGTTTTTTAAATTTATTTACTTATAAAAAACGTATAAACTTGAAGAAATTAAAATAAAAAAGAACTGAAAATAAAATAAAAATTGTTTTTACATTTCTTATTTCAAACCTTTAAAAATAATAATATAATATTAAGTATTTAAGAAGTTATTATATTAAGTTATTATGAAATACTTAATATGATATTATAACAATATCATAATAATATTATAACTATTATAATTTTATTAGACATTTAATAATAAAAATATCATTTTATTGGTATTGTTAAACGCACAATAAAAAATGAAAACTATAATAAACATAATAGTTTTATATATTCTATTAGATTATATTTTTCACCAAAACTTAAAAAATCTTTTTAAAACTTTTAAAAGTGTTTAAAGTAAGCAAACAAACATTACTTCACTTTAACGATAATAAGAAAATTTTTAAAAAAGCATGTTTTTGAAGAAAGCAATCTTTTAGCATGGTTTCTGTTAAAGAGATTAGAAATGCATTTATTTTAACTAAAATTATGGATGTTTTTGTAAGCGCATGTAAAAACCATGCTAAAAAAAAATACTTTCTTTCAGTTGTTACTTAGTTAACTTAAAAGTAACACTATTAAAGAATATAATCATGTTTAAGCTTTTTAGCAATAGTGAACAGACATCAAAATGTTTTCCAGAGAATTGTTTTGCTAATAGATATGGAAGTAATGGTTTCGATTGGAAATTGCAGAATTGCAATGTGAGGAAACTCATATAAAGAGTGAGGTTTGAAATAAAAGATTTCATGCCAGCCTGAATCCATGAAGTTATGTAAGAAGCACATTTGTCAACAGGAAGGCAAAAGATTTCTACCCAAAGGCCATCATAAAGAAAATCACGGAAAGAGTCCCAGTCAGCTTTAAGGTAGTTGTAAGATGTACAATGATAGGGGGATTCTGATAATGAAGAAGAATGAGATAATAGTTTTAGAGAGATCAAACGGTGATTAAATGCACCTCAAGGTGAATGTGGAGAAACTGAGCACTGACTAGGATCAGAAACAAGTTGAGTAGAGAAGGTAAATGATTTAAATTGTCTGAGAAGAAATTTGGAAAGTTGACTATTTAAGTTAGAAATTAAAAAAGGCTAAAGTGGGCCTTAACGCCTGCAGAGTCACTGACACTAAATCCAAGCTATTCAGTATTATGAGCATTAAAGTCACCAACAACAACAATATTGTCTGAAGGATAAAGAGAAATAGCTTGGTTAATTTGATCAGAATAACATCAAAGAGTGCAGTCTTGAGATGAAGGAGAGCAGTATAGAACAAAGAGAATGGCAATAAAGTGGTGTTAAACGAAGCACATAAAATAATAGTCGGTGGATTCAAACCTAGTTTCCTGACAAATGGGTGATATTTTACAAATGTAAATTCGCAGGCCAAACATGTGATTATTGGAGTCTTTGGGAATTAAAGGAAGATAACCATCAACGCTAAGATCACAAGATGATACAGCTGAAATAAAGAAAAAGTAATTAGCCTCAGTAATGAAACTATCTAATAGTCATTCAACAACAAACACCAACGTGAAGGTGAGCTAAGGATCTGTCAAAAAATATTTGTGCTTTTCTATTAACACGTGAAGCACATTTTAATACTGTCATGTCATAAAACAACTGTTTTTTTCAGTAACAAAGAATGGCTTTTCAGTAACAATATCCAGTATCAAAAACTGTTTTTTTCCCAGTATCAAAGATTGTTTTTTTTCCCCAGTATCAAAGACTGTTTTTTCCCAGTATCAAAGACTGGTTTTTTTAATCAGTATCAAAAACTGGTTTTTGGCTTTGCAGCTAGAAAAACAGTAAGTCAAAACAAAAATTGCTTTGTTGTTATTTGTTAAGAAAATGTGTCTAGTAGTAAAACAAAAGTAATAGTTTATAAATAGAGTAAATTGATTACATTTGTAAATACAACATTTTGTGTGTAAGATTTGTTAAATGGCATACCTTGTAATGCATATTTATCAACTTTAAAAAACAAACTATTAAACGATCTTTTTCTTGATCATGCAACATTTAATTGGCTGTGTGAAAAGCAAGGCTTTTTAAGATAAACACCAACTTTATCAAAAGTTTGATATTGACTTTTATTTATGGTCATTGAGTATGTTAACCTAACTGGAAACTGGTGACGTTTTAAGTATAAAGGTAAATTAAAATCTAATGGAGCTAATTGAACCTGAGGAATGAAGACCCTGTTACCAGTTGATACCCCTGTTAGAACCTCCACATCAATATAATTGTTGTTTAGTGCATGTACCGTCAAATAGGTTCCATTACAAAGTCTGCCTTTTAGATATAAATTTTTAAGTAGCATTAAAACAGCACCAATTTTTAATTTTTTGGCAATGAACAGGCATACTTGATGGAGTTAAACTATTTAAAAACTCGACTGGAAAATTAAAAATTTCATATTGATCATCAGTTTTTTTTTTTTTTTTTTAATGTCGATTTAGGTGCCCCAAGATGTCCTTACGGTCTTATCACAAAGCACCGTGGAAGAGCATTTAATAGGAAGTTCACGCCTCCTTCCCAACCGATGTCGCAAAACTTGTCCAGAGGTGGGGTTTGAACCACGGATCTTACATTTCTGAAACAAGTGCGCTACCACTGCGCCACGGCTGCTTTCATTAAATATAAGCATTATAATATAAGTTTCAATGCTATCTGAACTTAAGTAAATTTTAGCATCACCAGGTAAACGATCAGGGACTTCTTCATTTATTGCCAATGAATCAACATTTGTTGGCATTAAAATAGTATGTTTAGCATAATCAGCTTCCTCTGCGCCACCAAAAATCTTTTCCACAATAGATTCATTATCAATGAGAAAGCACTGCTCAGGTATTTCAATAGACACTTGTAAAGGATCTTTAGGTTTGACAGGTAATGTTCCACTTCCAAGCTTTAGAAACCATTGAGAAAATTCCTCTTTACCTATCTGAACTCTCATATTTTCAGTTAATGAAAACCTATGCGCATACCGCCAATATTCAGAACATTTTATACATGATTCTACAACTTCTGCTGGTCGACCTCTCTTCACAACTGGTAGTAGTTGTCTAAAGTCTCCACTTATAAGAATAACTTTACCACCAAAAGGAAACTTATTATTAAAAATATCTTGTAATAACTTATCAATGGCACTCAAAGCATGTTTAGGTATCATAGGCGCTTCATTAAGTAAATACAAATTTACTTGTCTAAGGCATCCACCATGAATAGAATTTGGAGTTACATTACATGTGCTATTTTTAAAATTGGGAAGTTTGAAAAAACCATGCAACGTGCATCCATTTTTAAGAAGAGTTGCAGCTATTCCTATCTGTGCAGCTGATGCAGTTCTAATATGTCTGCTTATTTGTTTTAGCAATTAAGCACTTGCGTGTTTTAGCAATTAAGTAATTGTAAGTAAATGTTTTACCACAACCAGCAGGCCTTCCATAAAAAATAATCTTGAGTTATAACCCCTGGTTATTTTTCAGATAAAAGTAATAAAAAGATCTTGTTTGCCATATTTCTTTATAATTGCAATTGCATCTTCGAAATTTTCTTTTAAAGCACTTGGGCTTTCAACATATGAAAAAGGCATTATAATAATATGACCTGGACTTACATTAAGATTATTTGCAAAGTTATTTACATGCTCATGTAATGTATCATATTGTTTACTTCTAAGTTTGCTTTTAGTTATTTCTGATAAAGGAAAAGGGCTGTCCTTCAATCTTGACATATGCATCAACAGTATACTGTTGAAAAAGCTTCTTACCATAAAATATGACTGAACATTTCTCTAACAGGAAGCCTATAATTGTAGTACTGAGACAAAGTAACACGATTATTAACACATGTTGCTTGGTCGGGATTGTGCTCTAGTTGATCAAACCATCCTGCATCAACTCTTGGAAAAAATTAGATGTATATTTGGATCAAGATTAGCAAAAATATTGGAAATTGTTTTTAAGGTCTGACCTTAAGGCTATGTAACAACATCCCTAGATGGAGGTGGAGCACCATCGTTTCCTGCAAACACAATGGCAACTTCCTTATGTGAAGGTAGGTTGTATCAATGTATATAGTGTTCTTCAAGCAATGGCATTTTGACAACTGAAGTTGGTCGACTAACTAAAGCTGCTTGACGTATTTTTTCATCTTAAATTTCTGCCATGTTTTTAAATGCAAGAGCATATGGGCCTAGCCTCATTTCTTTTATTTTAGTGACAATTAATTTCTTCTCACCTAACCTCATTCCTTTCATTTGGGCAACGATCAATTTCTTCTCACCTAGCCTTATTTCTTTCATTTTGGCGATGATTAATTTTTTCTTACCTAGCCTCATTCCTTTCAATTTGGCAACAACTAATCTCTTATCGCCTAGCCTTAAAGAGTAAAACTTATAAAAATTTATAAATAAATAAAATGACATGCCAACTATTGCAAACAAAAATTGATAAAAATGCATCACATTGACCACATGTTATTGATATCTTTAATGATTTGGAATATTTTTTTTTTTTAATATCTAAAGAGAATTATATATGCGATTTTTCTAATTTCTGGTAACTTATTTAAAAAAAAATTATCCGATAGCTCAATTGAATTGTTTTCCAATATAGTTCAGTAGATCATTTGTTGTAAATGAACTTTTTATATGAGTCGTTCCACATACAATTGTTGCACTTAGCGTAGACCAATTAGTAGAGTTCTATTTGCTCACGTGATTTTAGATTTAACTACGTATATTCTCTTGTTTACTTTTTAGCACATGTTTTTATTTAAATAAAAAGTAATACATTCAATTTATTTTTTAATCTTGAATTGTTTTTTTTTCTTCTTTGAATTGAATTGAAATGTTCAGTAAATAAACATTATTACTCTTAAGCAGATGATTTATAAATCTATTGTTTTTTTGTAAAGATAAGTAACTAATATGGAACATCTTATAACAAATATGGAGTATTTTATGGCTTCTGATGCTGATAATCCGGTACCAATAGTGTTGGAGCCTAACTACCAAATGGGCGAAAAGACTCCTGGATATGTAGCGGAAGAATCTACTAATTTATCTTTTTCTTCTTGTATCATTTCTCCTAACAATGAAAAGTAAATATAAAATGTTTGTCTTCAAAGATTTCATTATAATACGTCTTGTGCTCGAATAGTTTTAATGAGATAATTATTTTTACATTCTAAATAAATTCTTGAAAATATCAGTGAAAGAAAAATTTACTATAATTTTAGTAAGATGGTAAATAAAGTGTAAGTGTAGTATTTTAGTAAGATGGTAAATAAATGTAAGTGGACCAGCGTGTAAAATAATAAATTGAAGGGAAGCGGTCAATTTGACCAGCTAACCTTTGGAATTGACGGTCAACTGTTTTTTTTGGACGCTCAACATTTTTATTATTTTCTTTGTTTTCATTTTAATCTTTGTAATAGTTCTTCATGACTGAACTTAATAAATACAAAAATAACTTAATATTTGATAGTTAACAAATTAGTATTCCTTTTTTAATTTTGCAAATAACTAACATTAAAATTGCACGCCAAATAGTTTAAAATTAAGCGCACAGATTTTCATTTTATTTCTTAAAGGAAGTTTGATAGATTGATAAAATTTTTCAAAATTTTAATGATTATGTGATAATTTAGTACATGCTTTTTCCAAATAATAATGTTGTTGTTTTTCAAAACTCTGATTATTTTTGAACAGGTCAACCATGACCGGCAAGAAATCATTTTGGAAGGTCAAAATAGCAATTTTGGGCTGTCATTGAACGTTAACCGGCAGTTATTTTACATGCTGAAGTGAACTACTAAGGTCCCAAAGAGATGAAAAATAGTTTGTAAACAAACTCCTAATCAAGTCTTAGATAAGATTAGAGAACATATAAATAGTTTTCCAACAGTTGATTCACACTATTGGAGACAGAATACTAACAAAAAATATTTAGAGTCGTCATTGAGTACAATTAAAATGTACATGTTGTTTACACAAGCTTACCCAGATTTCAATGTATAAAAAGATGTTTATTATTCAACTTTTAATGAGTTTAATTTGGCATTTCATAAACCAAAGAAAGATTTGCGTGATTTATGTCGAGTATAAAAACGACGAAGATGATCAAAAAATATTGCAGCATAGAGAGAGTAAGCTAATAACTAGATAAGAAAAAAAGTGACCTAGCTAAAGTTACAAATAGAGATTTCAAAACCATAGCAGTTATAACTTTTGATTTAGAAAAAGTATTTCCCTTTTCAATAATTCTTCATTTTATCACAGAAGAAATTTAAATTGCTATAATTTCACAGCCCGCTGTTCATTGAATATAAAAACTTATTGTGCACTTTGGAATGAATCTATGGCTGGTAGAGGACACTTAAATTTTTTTTTTAGATTTTTAGAAATTATAGTTCATGTCAGGTAACATTTTGTCAGCCCGAAATACAAGTGTCGTATACTGATAGTAGGTTACAGCCCTCCTACCTTATTCAATTAAAGTGTCCACAAATGTAGTGTTTTTTAAACTAAATTTTTAGGGCTTCCGGTAGGGCTCGAACCTCTGCGTATTCATTCACAAGCTCATTGCCCTATCCACTAGACCGCACTGGCACATTGTCGATGAAAAATTTTGAAATTATTTGAAAATAAAATACTATTTAATATAAAAATGCTTTATATCAAAATTAAAGAGATGTTGCTGCAATGCAATTTTAAAGTGAAAGTAAAACTGTAAAACTTAATATGGGTTAGTATGTTTTAACATTATGTAATTTGAAGTTATTTACATTTGGTATTTGCAATAACTGCCAGGAGTTTTGTGTCAAACACCCTTAAAAGGGCACTACTACTACTACTACTACTACTACTACTACTACTACTACTACTACTACTACTACTACTACTACTACTACTACTACTACTACTACTACTACTACTACTACTACTACTACTACTGCTACTGCTACTGCTACTGCTACTGCTACTGCTACTGCTACTGCTACTACTACTACTACTAATACTAATACTATTTCTACTACTATTAAGTTCAGCAATATTATATAGATAGATTTAGAGAACTTGGTGATGGTTTTTTGAGTTTTATAGTTTTTTGTACTTTAGTCATTTTTAAATTTGTCAAAGACTTTACTCAAAGCACAAATAGTATTCAGTACACTTTAATAGTCCAAGCAATTGCCTCAATACTATTAATAAACATAAAGCCATAACAAAGTGGCCTCGACAGTGCACATCAAAAGTACAAACAGGGACACTGTCTATGCACTGTTAGTTCTCTTATATTTTACAGCTGTTGATGGAATCAGCCTCTTTGAGATCTACCACAGAGTTCGGGAAACCTGACTACCAGCTAGCCTCAGAACCATAAAACTGAGTTTTAGAACTGTACTCCCATTAGGAGATAATAGAATGAGTTACCTAGTCATAAAAACGCAAGCGAAACCCATGCATTGAGTCAAGAAGATGCAGCATTCAACATTCTAAACTGAAAACAATGTTATAAATGCATCTGTGCCAGCCTAATAGATGAAGAAGGAGTGCGAGACTGGTCAACAGATAGAATCTGTTTACTCCTTAAGTCTTTGCCTTGGAGATCTTCTAGAAGACAGTAGCCGGATGCATTTAATGTCTGCCCAAAAAAAGTATTTTTATTGAGACACCATGGCTTAACTCAACCAAGCCTTTACTCAACCAAGAGCCCCAAGGCTGTTTTAAGTCGATGTTGGCTTCTCCTAGACTTTAATCATTTTCTAGCAATTTCTCCAAGCCATAAATTTATTTATTTATTTTGAGACTAATATTAATGACATTAATGTCAATCTTTTAGTTTTATATTATAGTTCAAACATTATTGGAATTTTACTGATAGGCATACTGTTTTTGGCACTCTTTACAAAAATACTAAGTTTTTTTGTAAACTTGTGAATAGTATTTTGTACCTACAAATGTATGCATGCACAAACATTTCTAATTTTACTTTAATTTTGCAAACAATTTAGTCATTAAAGAAAAATATTAAATGTGTAACAATCATTTTTTTGCTGCATCTATTTTACCATATTTTAAATTTTTTTATTGTTTCTAGATTAAAAGTCGTTATATGATTATTATGGGACAAGTGTTATCAATAACTGCAATATTATTTCTTGGTCCAACTCCTTTATTCAAGTCATTTGTTCCTGAGTAAGATTTTTTTTTTTTTTTTTTCTTGTTTATTATTTCATTCATTTTTTTAAATCTTTGTATTTTACATAATTAGTTATGTTAAATCAGTTCTTTCATATAGTATATCTGGGAAAGTTTTTTTACTTGCTTTGAGATTTTTTAATAAATCCAATCCTCTTAAAAGTATTATTTAATTATGCATTTTAATAAATCTAATCCTCTTAAAACATTTGTGGTATTTCTATTAAAGTTTTGTCTAAGATGCTGTTGAATTGATATGTACATTGAAGGTGACCACTTTTTATCATCTAGGTAAACAAAAATATTGAGATTATTTTAAATAAATTTTTTGCTAGAAGATTTGCAAAATATTTAGTGATCTTTTCTAAAAACGTCCTAGGTTTCCATCTTGATTAAAGTTGAGTTGATGTTATATGTTGTTATATTTTGCCTATATGTTTTTTAAGTACATTTTACATTAAAGTTTAATTTGAATTTAAATTTTTTAGACAACTTTTAGTTTTGTTTAGATTATATTTCAAATATTTAATATTACAATTATTTCTAAAAAGGTTGTTATTTTTTTTTGTTTAGAACATTGCTGACATTAGGACTTTCACTTGGTTTTCTTGGAATTTCAGTTTCTTGTGCCCTAATACCATGTTTGGCAGATATGCATATAACAGTATTGTAAAGATCTACTTTATAAAGTTTTAATTTGTTTTAAAAAAAATTGTTTAAAATATTTATTCTGTTTGTAACCCTAGTTTTCATATGAGCTTATTCCAAATTTTTTGGTTAGTTATAATTTAAAATTGTTTAGTTAATTACCCAGTTTAGTTGTTAAAAATTTAGGGTAAATACTAAGTTAAAAATTTAATGTTTATTTATTAAAAAATATTAAAAATTGTTTAAAATGTTTATGTATATGTTCTTGCTAAATACTTATATTCCTGTATTAGGATTTAGCAATTTTTTTTATCATACATAAAGACTTTAAAATTTAACTGTTATACATAAATTCTTTATGTTTTAGTAATTATGGATATATTGATTGCATAGCAACAAGTGGAGTACTTTCAGGAATATTTAGTAGCTGTTTCTCGATTGGGTAAGATTTTATAAAAGCAATCTATAAAACCATGAAACCTAGAAAAAGAATCTTTTTTTAAGACTTAATGGTGAATTAACATTTAACTGTGATGCTAGTTTAAATTTGTTTTAAAAAGTTAAAAAAAATTAAGTTTAATGACAGTCTGTTTCATTTTATTATTTTACCATACTTACAGCAGTTTTTCAAAACGCCTTAAGTTGCTTTTTATATATTTCGAGAAAAGCACTATTAAAGAAAAGCACTATATAAGTTTGCAATTTTACAAGAGATTTAGAGCTAAAATATTTATTTATATATAAACTTTATTATCTAAATTAAATTATAAATTGGAAAATAAAAAGATTAGTTTAAAAAAATAAGTATTTGTGTTGCATTTTTTGTTGGAAAAAACGTAGACAGGCTTTTTTTATAGATAAACGCAGCATTGAATGCAAAACGCCTTATGAAACAATAAAAAGTAAATTACTTCAATTTTTCCCAATGAATTATTCCAAAAACTTGGCTACGTATCCAAACTGTAATAAATATGCATTTTTAAAAAATATTTTGATGTGTGTACATTTTTTCTCTTTGAAAATCAATATTTTGACTTTTTTTAAAAGATCACACAATATTTAAAGCAATTATAAAACTTGCTCCAGATATTTTGTGGTCTTTTCATAAACTTTTATACAAAAATCATTAAAATCAACCTTCCAAATAAATAAAAAAGACCGCACAGTATATGGAGCAATTATTATACAACTAGTTCCAGATGTTTTGCAGAATTTTTATCCAACAAAGAAAGAGTGTAGCATATGCCTTCAGTTCTTTACACATTGTGGAGAAAAGAATCATTCTAAATTAACTCCAGACTGTACAGATTGCATGACAAGAAATATTCACATAAAAAGGGTCAGGCACACCAGAAACAAATATAGACTTGATGCTGGTTGAGCTGTTTGTGCACAAGAAATAATATTGGCAACAGACATGGAAAATAGGGTGTATCGAAAAACAACTTTTTTTGAATTTGAAATTGTAATAGAGCAGAAAAGTTGCATAATGATATAAAAAGTAATTGTGCCAAATTATTTTGTATTTTTTTTATGTCTTCAGTTCGCGCTAGGGTTTTATTTTTCGTAGAAAAAACACGTTTTCTGACCTTTTTTACAAAATAAAAATAAAAAATTCTATGCATATACTAGAGTTGTAATAGAGTTTAAACATTAAACAATGACTAAGTTAGAAATGGTTACAATTTTTTAAAAAATATTTTAATGTCTTCAGATGACGCTAGTGTGCTGAGTTTTGACAAAAAAACACTGTTTTTTATTTAAAACAATTTTAATTATGTTGTTGATGCTTCCACTTGTCGTCACCTGTCTTCACTGTTACAACAATTGAACAAAAGTAATTAAAATGTAATAAACCAAATAATGCCAATGGTTAAAGTGATGATTTTAAAATGACATTAGTATGTATGTAAAATGTCACTAATTACGTCATTTATTACCATCACCATCAGCATTATTAGAAAATTAGCTAAAAGCACAGGTTATAATTTATTAGTTCTGATTTACATTTGTTTATTAATAAAATAAATTGAAATCAAAGAAAATTTTAACGGCAAAAATGTCTTCCACTGCAGTGACAATAAGAAAAAAGTCTACTTGTCCTATCTTTGGTTCACCAGCTGACTTACGAGCAAATGTTTTGCCAACATACAAACATGTCATGCTAAGTTATCTTTTGTCAATGCAGAAAATGAGAGTGGAAACTGGTGGAAAACAACCTTCTTTGAAAAAAATATCTGAAAATTTGGCGCACAAAATAGAAAATTTGTGGGTAAAAGCATCGATACCTACTGTGTCTCATAAACGCATAGTAAAAATGTTTCTTGATTGCAATCAAAAGTATAGAAATATTATGAAGTCTGTTAACATAACGAAACATACAGACAAATTGAACTCGAAAATAATAACATTTCAAAAGCATGCAGAAAATACTTAACTTGACGTTGCAGCATGCAAATGCCGTGATTTTTCTAAATGCATCTGTGAAAAAGCAAAGAAGGTCCCAGAGAAAGAACATGATTTTCTTAGCGATCAGAGATTTATGAGGATTATGTATATGGAAGGACTCAATATTCAAGCTACTTTAAGATTACGGCAAAAAGAAGCAGGAAAAAACAGAGTAAATAGCCCCTTGCTGTCTAACTCATCAAAACAGCCTTGTGGTATTACAGGTATTGAAGCTCAATCAACATTATCAAGCCGCATTCATGGTTCAAATTTCTATTCTATATCTCAAGATTCTGACTCTGATGACACTGTGATTTGGAATACTGACTTAGAATCGGTAGAAATTGGTTTGGAATACTGACTTAGAATCAGATGTTGATTATTTAGTCACAGCTGAAGGCCACAAACAAAAAAGAAACTGAAAAGATAAAACTGAACAAATGAGATCACCGTTACTATCCTTAACACAAGCCTGCAATAGAGTTGGTGTTTCAAGCAGAGGTGCTGCATTTATAGCATGTGCTGTGCTGGAAGATAAAAACATAATTTCAAAAGAAGACCAATCTAAAGTAATTGATAAAAATAAGATTCAAAGAGAACGAAAGAAAAACAGACTTAAAATGCAACATTTAGATCATGAAAATATTCAAATGTTAGAAGGTTTATATTTTGATGGAAGAAAAGATACAACATTTGTTATTGATACAAATAAGGGAAAAAATATACGAAAAACTATCAAAGAAGAACATGTAGTTTTAGTACAAGAACCAGGGTCAAAGTATCTAGGGCATGTAGAGACTGCATCAGGACATGGATACAGCATTAAGACAAGTATAAAAACATTTTTAACTCAGAACAACATTGATACATCCAAATTAGTTGCCATGGGTTGTGACGGAACAGTTGTAAATACCGGATTTCGTAATGGTGTTAATGCTTTGTTCGAATTAGAACTCAAAAGACCTGTCCACTGGTTTATTTGTCAAATACATGCTAATGAACTGCCTCTACAGTATCTAATTCAAAACCTAGATGGATCTACATCAGGACGGGTGGCCTGGACCGATCAGAAGAGAAATTAAATTGTGTGATACCTTGCCAATTGTCAACTACATTCCTGTCAGTGTCACATTGCCAAAAATAGACAAAAAATCTCTTAGTTCTGATCAAAAATACTTACTTGATATTTGCAAAGCTATATCTACAGGTTATTGTCCAAACGCTTTGGCTAACCGAAATCCTGGAAAACTTAACCATGCCAGTTGGGTGACCACTGCAAACAAAATATTGAGGTATTATGTTGGATCTAGCGAACCGTCTGATTGCTGAGAGAAATAGCTGAGAGAAATAGTTGAGTTTGTTATTAGAGTTTACTGCCAAATGTGGTTCAATATAAGATATGATCCCTCATGCACGGAAGGTGCTAGACATTTATGGCTAACCATCAATTTATCCAGGTATGCCAGTATTGAAATAAAAAGTATCATCGATCCAGTTATACAAAGGAATGCTTTTTTTGCACATCCAGAAAATATACTTCTGGCTATGATATCGTATACTTGTCCAAATGTGAGAAAATTTGCATTAAAACAAATAATGAAAGCAAGATCAATCAAAACAAACAAAGTTTGGAAGTTCTCTATACCAGAAATCAATTTTGAAGCAACAGACTATATAAACCTTATTGATTGGATTAAATGTAAACTAAGTGAACCTCTGATTACCACTCACATTTCAGATGAAAATCTAATTGAAATGTTAACAAATGGTAATCTTCCAGATGTGCAGCATTCTCCATGTCATACTCAAGGAGTAGAGAGATGCATCAAGCTTGTAACCGAAGCTTCAGATCGAGTTTGCGGTTGGCTAGTAGAGACGGCTTCATTCGTGCAAGACTTGCATTGCGAAAAAAAAAATGCCTATATTCAACACAAAAAGACAGTTTGAGATAGAGACAAATGAATCAGATAGTTGAACTTTATTACAGCTCAACTCTAAACATTTTTTAAAAACATTTTTCACTCTATTAAAACTTTAATTCCAGAAACTAATGAAACTGTTTTTTCGTCAAAACTTAGCACACTAGCGTCATCTGAAGACATTAAAATATTTTCTTAAAAATTGTAACCATTTCTAACTTAGTCATTGTTTAATGTTTAAACTTTATTACAACTCTAGTATATGCATAGAATTTTTTATTTTTATTTTGTAAAAAGGATCAAAAAACATGTTTTTCTACAAAAAATAAAACCCTAGCGCGAAACGAAGACAAAAAAAAAAACAAAATAATTTGGCACAATTACTTTTTATATCATTATGCAACTTTTCCGCTCTATTACAATTTCAAATTCAAAAAAAGTTGTTTTTCGATACACCTTAATGGAAAAAGTAATTATGCTACCAGATTGAAAAATTTTAAAAAAGCAATGTTTTTTCCAGGGATGTGGAGTCGTAAAAAAAAGTAACGACTCCGACTCCAGTTGTTGAAATTTTTTGAGTACAACTCCGACTTCAACTCCAAAGCAAAATTTTTGAAAAATTCTTTGAATTCTTTAAAACATATACGCGATAAGCTAAATTTTTTTTTTTTGACAAATTAATGAAATGTTCTTTGAGGTTTAGTATGAACATAAGGTTAATTGAATCTTTTGTAATTACATATTCAATACCGAGAAATTTTACTATAGGAGTCGGAGTCGCGATTTTTTTTAGCGACTCCGACTCCACTAAAATTGTCGCAATTCTGCAACTCCGACTCCACAGCCCTGGGTTTGTCAGCAGTTAACAACATACAATGTAACATTTGTGCCTATTGGAAAAACGAAGGAATGTATAGTTTCAATTATTTGGCATGAAGAAATTGCTGGGAGGTGCAAAGAAGAGCTAATTTCTACATATTATTTGTTTTTGCAAGAATATCGGAATATAGGAGTTTAGTGATGTTTCTGATATATATGATTAATGGCAATGAAATCACAACCAACAAAATCAAAT